AAATGGTTTGGGAATTTTTATTATCATCTCGTAGATCATGTGACTTCCTTAATTTGCATGAGATCTTCATTACATTTGCATACCCTTGACCTCACAGAAAAAATATAACAGTGTATTATTAAGTTTCTTGCCAATGAATGAAAATTTGCATTCGGATGAGATGGAGTTTTCAGCAGCATCAAGTGACTGAAAACGGTTGAATGACCATATCAGAAAATCCAATTTTTGTCTTGCACATCAGAGTCATCTACAGATTCCTCTCATCATCAACCGAATTTACTGGATATTTTTCTTGTCGAGCAATATGTACAACCTGAAGTTGAATCTGATTACGACAGTCGATACACCTCAATTATTCCATGTTCACACATAGATAGACAGCTGTAATGTTTAGTATATTCTGTATGGGGGAGGGGCAATTTAATTACCAAAAAAAATTCTTCTCGCTTTGCGAAAATTGAAAACTTAATGATGATGGTTTTAACATGCATTAAAGGTTTATTAGATCTATGAATCAAACTACAAAGTAGAAAAATAACAATTCCAATTCATTGAAATTCAAAATTTTAGGCGCAGGTTTCAAATACCTCATTACACCAAGAACATCAACACTTTTTGAAGGAAACAGACCGATAATGAAAATGATAATTTTTGTTGTCAAAATTGTTCCAGTTGTGTAACAAGGTTTTTGTACTGTCAACAATACAACATTTATCAAAATAATGACAAAATAACCATTTGAAATCAAATATTGACCTCGACAACAGCAACACAGGGTCAGTAATAAATGTAGTGATTGTTAGCATTAGAGGGCGCTGTGGCGGTGACGAAAACACACATGTTGGAAACCTGTGAGGTCGGGCCCAAGGTTTGATAGAAAGGAAAATAACAAATCACGATTTTCATAATTATCGAACAAATATCACTAAGTTAACTTGTTTATTTGATTGGTTTTCTTTCTGGTTCCGCCCAAAAGCACAACGCAGTGGCAGATTGAGAACCGATTACACCATGGAGCTAAAAATGATCAGATTAAACTTACCGTTTCGGAACATCTAGATATTGTTCAAGAGTACTGGGTTGGCCTTTACTGCGAACTTTGCCATACATGAGAAACTCCCTCAGCTTTTTGGGCATGGAAATATTAAAATACGAATAAAATGTCAACATGAAACCCAAGATACACACGCCCCAATACCATATCAACAACGAAGCAGCCATGTTGAAGAAATGATCAAAAGATAAAGACATTCTGTCACTAGAGGGGGCTATTTCGAAAAAAATGCATTAAAGCAGGGGGGGTTACATATCAATTATTGATCTTAAGTAGTCAATAGATTTGCCAGTAGTTTTTTTTTCTTTTTTTGTTATCTCATAATTCATGCTTCTATAGAATACTTTAATTTGAATAAGGTCCCAAGTTTAACATTTCGTTGCCAACAAGTGTCACTGCAACACAAAAATCCACACACCAAAGCAATTGGGCAAAGTGACTGCCCCAAAGCAGTGAAATCCAATATTTAAGTGACGTTTGAAAGTGGCGACAAAAAAAGATATTTCAAGCGTCACGCAGTGTAGCAAGAAATTATATTTCGGTGGTCCAGACGGAGAAGGCGTAGCTTCATAGAGGGCGCCGTACTATACACCAAAGGGTGGCGTTACGTTATTGTACAAGTGGTGGTCATTCTACGCGTTGCCACAGTGTAAATATCATCTACATTTTGTTCAAATTTAATGTTCATATATTCAACTTTAACCCTGTATATTTTTACCAATATTGCTATGACATTGCTTGCCCGTCACCCTCCCTCCCCCAGGCGCATTTGGCACCGTCACCCTCCCTCCCCCAGGCGCATTTGGCACCGTCACGGGTGCAGCTTTCTAGAGTATGTTCGTCCCACAATAATGAAGGTTTTGAGTCTCTGATTTTTTCTGGGCGGCTTTGTTCGCTTCTGATGCGGAATTTTGCTTCATAATATACTGTGTAGTTATTTTAATGCAATTTGACAGAACAATGTTCTAAACGTATCGTCACGTTAACTAAAATAAGCTGCAAACAAGCCTTGTTTTCTTTCATGTATGTTACTTTTGTTTGTGGATTTAATTTCATATATCGCTTATGCTTATAGTATTAATAGATTAAATGTTTGGCAACGCTATCACACAACTTGAAGTATTTCGTCGTTTAAGCCGGGTTGTGGAACCAAATTTAAAGACTGCTACGGCATTCATGTATTGAAATTTAATTTATTTTGCGATTCGGACCACTAGCTCCCTTCAACATTTTTATAGTAGATGCAAGTCAGCGGCGATCTATTGAATATGATAACACTAGTCCACTCAGCTGACGTACAAGTGGTAATATACTAAATACATAAACGAACTTATAGTGAAGTCTGTACGATTTGTTATATGGGAGTCGCCCAGAAGACTGTGTGTCTTCCCTCGTAATAACACCATTATATGCCAGTTTATTGTGTACTGAGACACAAATCCAACGACTGTGCCGCGGTTAATTAGAAACTCTCCCCTCAAGCCCCGCCGTCAGAATCCCCATATCCCTTCCCACAAGACTCATTACAGGCCCATTTATACTTTTTTCGTTATGAGGGCTTTTTAATTCCTGGTGATGCGTTCTCGGGTGATGCGTTCTCGGAAAAAATGTCAAAGCGTTTTTCTTCTGTTCTACAGGAACGTATATTATTAGAAGTAATTTTGAATTATTCATTTGAAAACAATTTTTAATGTGCAAATTATTTTCATACTTATGAACCCCCTTCCCCTCATATTTACTGATTTCTATTTATTTCTAGATCACGAGTTAAAGTCATTATTTGGCTATATATGCAATGTACAAACCTGATTAGTTTTAGGTTAAAATCGGTTGATATTAATTCCCTGATTAGCATAATATAGTATATTTGTTGGGGTTCTAATCTCATTTAAATGAAACTTGCTACATTGATGGTCTGTTACATTGCACAGACCTTATTAGTTTTACACTAAAATCTGTTCATATTAATTATCTGATTTGCATAATTAGTGTTAAGCTTTTCCATCAGTATCTCAAGTACAAGTAATTTTTAATTGATTTCTAATTTCTCCATTACTCAGCACACGAGAGTTCGTTCTAAGCTTTCTTTAATATTATATTTGTTTGACAAACTATTTTTCGTCATCTTTACTTAATTTAGTTGTTTATTTTGCATCAGTATGCCAGATCATTTTGAAACACAATTAAAGAAAGTTTGAAATGATCATATAATTGGTCAGACTATTACTTCACCAATCCCTCATCGTTTTATCCACCAGCCACAAACCAAGTTTCATTTTGAGACATTCCAAAGCTCCAACCATTACCTGTTGTACGCATGAGAAAAGAGGTTCAAGAGAAAATGAGAAATTGGGCTGTTGACAATGGGAAATTTGTTAGACAAAGATAAATCCGACAAGAAAACACAAAGTATAAGGCACGTACATTGTTACTGAATCTGTATGAGGAGATACCAATTGGTGAAACATTGCATAAAGAGAGACATGATTTGTCAGATGGGTCAGCTGTTGAGAAGGACACATCTGAGAAAATCGATGAGCAGAGAGACGAATATAGTAGTGATGAAAACAGTGGTTCGGAAACTGAGGAAGTAGATAACACGAAAGAAGTGACATTTCATGAATTGCTGAACAAAGAGAAGCAGTGTGTGCAAGATAGGTTGGCACTTAAACAGAAAGAAACTGCATAAACTGTTTCACAAAGGGACGACTACAGTAATGACGAGAACAGCGGTTTAGAAACGGAGGAGATAGACAGTTTCAAACAGAAAGATCAGTTAAGAAGTGTATGTCTAACTACTAGGTCTTACCAGCAATCAAAGTTAATGTCAAATATCTCCAATAAATGCTTTTATATTCAACAACCATTCCTGGTGATTGGTGAATAGGTATTTGGAATTCCTGGTGATTGATGATTTCCCTCTTTAAATCTTGGTGATTGGTGATTGGGAGGGGGTATAAATGGTACCTTTCTACCGAGTCCATGGACAAAGTAAATTTGATTTATGCAATACTGTTGAAGACTTCTTCTTTCTACAAAGTCTGACATCATTAATACTAATATCAATATAATCAATACTTGTAATTGTTCAATATCACCTATTGTCAAAGTAATTACACGAATTATGAGCGGGAAAATGACCTGTTATAAAGAATAAAAAAACGCTTTTGTAAAGGTAAACCTTTCAATTTAGGTTGCGCCCTCAACGCTTATATGGTGTCAACATTACGTAGATGGGGGAGGGCGGTTTCCAAAGTCTATTTACTGTATTTGTAGTGCCAAATCACTCGAAAACAGTAGTTTTTATTGACAGTCGACCACAGATCTAAACATACCCACCTGAAAACGGCGTCTCTCGTACCGAGGGCCATGTAGGTCTGTGCTTGCAATGCATTTACCATTCCAGATATTGTGATGTGATTTATACCGTACGAATTGTGGGCATCGTGACGTAGTAGTTTGCATTCTGAAGTTGAGTTCACAAATTGTGAAATGATATCTGTATATATCCTTGTAGTGTGATAGTTCAGCCATTAGTATTTATAGTCTTTTTTTCATTACGGTGACATTGAAAATGTTATCAAAAGGGTCAAGCACCGTCGACTATCAGCTGGCTTAATAATGGTAATATAATATATGCGACGAATTTTATTCCGTCATTGTAAAAATAATTTTGGAAATTTAAAGATGCTTTACATCACGTAAATTATAACAAATGTGTCCACATCAGATATATAAAAAATGTTAAATTTTGTTGTCAAAGATTTGTGTTTACGAAGATAAGATCCATTTCAATCATGCCACCTGATAAGAAATGTCAACAATCTTTTAGTTCCAGACAACACAGTCAACATGACACTGTCTATGTTTTTCACGATATTCTCGGGAATGAATTTATTTTGGTAGAGTTGTGAAAATGTGTATTGATGCGGACATTTTACCAATTTGAAAACCAGGCGACTCAAATCTATGTCATTTTTTTAAATACGCGGATATATCCTTTTTACAGTGATTTAAATGCACGATGGGCAGTTCTTAATGTTTTTGAAAAAAATATGTGAATATATGTCAGTATTACATAATAACTACATTTTCAAGCAGCACTGTAAATTTTCAAGACAAGCAACTTATCACAGCTAGATACCATGACAACACAACATATACAGCTTGACGAATTCAAATTGTAATTCAATATCGGAGAGTGGTCGGAGCCATGGAAACAACTGGCTGGACACATGTATCCTTATTGTTGCTAATACACCAACATGCCAGTCAGTCTTTCAGATGACCGTAATTATAGCATGCTAACGCAATTTGCTCACAATTATGTTCTTGTGCTGACCTTATATTTTAAAATTAATTTAATTGATTTTATTCTGCAAATTTTAACTGTTTAACGGGCAGTAGTCGTCGCGCTACGCATGCGCGAGATATATGGGTCTCATATAAACAAAGATGGCGACTGTGGCTGTTGCGCATATCAACGAGTAGACGTTACCAAGATTTAATTAGATATTTTGTAGGTTATTGGAAGGTGTTGAAGGAGTCACCGGCGGTAATTTGTGCAGGTGACGCCCAGGTCAAACCTAATATATCTGATTTCCATTAGAAGAGCGCACTGGATAGTAGGAAAATCAATGTTTATCAACACAAATATCGCACATGCGTGGCGTGACAACTGTCGTCCTTTAAATGAATGATACGATAAGCATCGACAATTTTGGATTACTGAATTACACAATGACAATATAACCAAAAACTAAAAAAAAAAAAAACTAAGAATATACAGAACCTGGTTTCAAGGGGGTGATGATTTGTTGAATATCAACAAAAGCGAATTAGGAAAATACTACTAACAAAATTAATTTTTGATCATTGTCTTGAACTAGAATTGGGCGGGAGAACAACCCAAATACACCAAATGGTTCTGTAAATTATGTAAATCTGCAGTCGGTGATGAAATACATTACGCAATTCAGTGCCTAAAATTTAATACTTAGAGTTATATTGTTTTGATAATGCTAAGAAGCAAAAACTTGGAAAACCTCAGTGACATCACAGTCACTCTACTCGTAGAGTAACTGTGGTGACATTGACAAATTTGTTTCTGTCCTCGAATTAGCCTCGAATTAAATTGCCTTTAATTAATTGTATAGATGAAACTCAAATTAAAGTGATTCAGTGATTTAAAGTGATTATGTAAATTGTATACCCCACCCTGCAGCAGCAGCATTTTCAGCTATTTTTATATATTGTATTTTTGCTGTACTGCATTGCCATTACAAAAATTACAGTCTGGATATGATGCATTGTTGTTATGGTAACGTCAGGCAAATGTATTTTGCTCTATACAAATAAATAGCCATGGAAACATGGATGCAAAAGTGATAAGAATTGTGTTATATAGTTTGTAGAAATACATTATGATCCTTGAAACTTAACATAATGTGACGTCATGTCATAATAATGGGCGGGAGTGTGACGTCGCGTCACCCGGGGAGTGTGACCACAGACCATTATAGAATGCATAGTCTGTTGGTTCACGTTGAATCAAATGTGAGTTCCACAAAACAATCAATCAACGTACTTTGAATTTTGTTTTACTAATTGTCTTTTAAAGGCAATGTCAAGCATAATAATACCATGAACAACACCTTTTATTGCTATAGCAACGTATTTATTGGCATTGCATAGACATGTGTGACGTATAAGAACAGTACAGAAATAGAAAAAAATTAGTGTTTAAACAAAAATCAATCGAAAAATTACTTGAAGCTAACCGAATATCGAAAAGATGTGCTACTATACCGAATGTTCAAAACGCTCTACATGGGACTTTTGAAACGAAAAAATAATGTGTGACGAAGCATGTTGATACACAACACGACGCTCTGTTGGACGAGCAACGCAAAACGTTTTCAACATGTTTATGTGTTTACGTGTTTTGGTATAATTCCCGATATTTCAGTTCCTTCATACAGTACAATATCCGGCAGAGATGAAAAGCAGCAAAAAAAAGCAGTACATTTTAAAATATGTCATCTATTATCAAAACGCGCCACTGAAACTATTGTCAAAATTAGCCTTTAATTCTTTTTTTGTTCTAAGACAAGAGAGACCGAGAAAACCTTTCTCTGCACACACATCTTCTAAATCGAAATTTAAGCAAGGAACTTGTAATTCCGAGAAATAAATCTGCCCGATGTCTCGACCCACAGTTGTATCCAGTCCTTTGAGGCAGTTCAGGAACTCTTCGTCGCAGTTGCAGTCACTTAGCGTGTATGGAAAAGGGTTGAATGTGTTGAAGCCAGTGCGAAAGGATTCGATGTATCTCTCGCAGTGGTCGTGTTGTCGGCAGCATTTGTCTTCTTCTTCGTACAATCCTAGGTCATCCTCGCTTTCCGCTGCGTCTCCTTTCCCGCACCACTTGGTCCCAGGGTAGATATAATTCGCCAAGTCTCGTCTAGTGTCACTTAATTCGTACTGGACACCAGGGTCCATTCCGACATCTAAATATAACAGAAATAGTATAATATCATACAAATGGTTCAATTCAACAGTACGTACATTTGTACTTGGGTCATAATATACACCCGGTGTAGGTGTAGAGTAAGCGATGTTCGGATACCACGGTGGCGGTATGCTATAATAAGTCACATCGCGGAAATTACACAAGTTCGACTGCGTATCACGGTAGACCGGCTCCACTGCAGTCGTGATGATGTTTGTTTGTTTTACGACAAATAAGCAAAAAACTAATGGATCAACCCCTTCACTTCGCAAAGATGTTGAAAACAGACAGCATCGCACGTCACAACAACAAGTGGGATTTATTTTAATGGGGAGAGTTCAAAGAATATTTCTTGTTTTATGTACACGTATTTTACCCCGACTTCAAGTCCTCGCCGACCGGGAGCTCAAGTGCTTAAGTCCATCATGTTGACGAATCATATTGTAAAAATCTTTCGATTTGGTCTAACCATCATCCGTTCAGTCCCTTGAACAATTCAAAATCACGCGACGCCCGAAATACACAGCTGATTTATGGCGCTATGCCAGAGGTTAACGAACTATTTATGAAGGTTTCACGTTGTTTACAATATCGGTGACTGGCGGGCGGAGTTGAATTGATTTCTTTTACTTTAACAGCAACAACAAGTAGTCAAAAATGTTGTTATTTATTCCTAGGAACTGGTGAGATCCGAATTTGAATTCAAATAGTTATTGTTTTCCGTTACACATAACCAACCTTGACATTTCCAAAGCCATGAAGTTAAAGTAAACTTTTTTGAGCCATTGCCACGTGCCCATAATTTTGATCTGGTAATTCCCTATCAAAGTCACAGCCTTTGTCCAGTGGAAAATACCACCGTACAAGTTCTTTCAACTGTTAACATCAATCAAAATATCGTACGATATTTGTGAACAGAAATTTTGAGACCTTTTAACTCCGTGATGAAAACATCACCTTTGACAGATATCTCATTGTATGTTGATAACTCGGGGGACACACTCCTATTACTGCCTTTATAGGGATTCAGCTGCGAACTGGAGAAAACTAACATGAAATTGTTTTTAGTAGCAATAATATACGATAATGTTTATTTTTCTGAATTATATCTACTCCTTTTCACTATATAATATTTGTTATAGTGGCATCTTCCCATGACGTCATCGTTCTCGTGATTATGCTGCCAATCACACATGTGCGTTTACCTATATCAAGAAGAGGCATATGACGTTATGCTGATGAAGCAAATTCGCAGTGAAGTTCGATTTACAAAGGCAGAATTTGTTATGCAGAAAAACAACAAACAAGATGCTCTCTGACTGGTCTGACTGTGGTGTATAAGAGCTGTGTAGCTAACGTGGTCGTTATCTTAGGTAGCGTACAACCAGGAATTTCAATTGAAAAATACAATAGCTAAAGATATAACACACACACACACTTCTGGTGTCCAATGTCCACTTTGGTCACCCCAGTACTCCCATAGTTGGCCAAGCTGGTCTTCAGTGGCGGATCCAGCAAAATGTATTGGGGGGGGGGGGGCTTCGCTTAAAATTACGGAGCGAAAATCGCAGAGAAGCTATGCGTAATCCAGATGATATGAATCGTCATGCGTTTCGAGGGGCATGCCCCCCTCCGCCCCTCTGGACCCGACACTGCTGGTCTTTTAAACCAGCAATCTTAAGATTTTGGGGCATTTTTGCAAAATCTTTCGGGGTTCAGTTTACAACTGGCCGCGGAGCAGTACTACTCAAAATTATGGTGAATAACCTCAACTCCCCAGGTCAACCAGAGACTAATTCATCACTATTTACTACCATTACATGTACAAACCGAACTCGCTAACGTACATGCAATATTTGTGTGTATTGCGAGAAGAACAATAGCAATTTACATACTAGTACAATCGCCTATATATACCATTAGTGTACACATGGAGCTCAATGGTATACATGATGTAAGGCTTGGGATAGTTGTTATGTGTACGGGATGTGCGCCGACGACGGCGAGAAAAATATCATCATGACTTGTGTCTGCAGACAATTTTCTCAACAACATTTATTTGGAATAATCAGATTTTTGTCTACGCCATTTATAAAAAACAATTCTGACGTCATAGCTATATCAATTAACGAGTTAGGCTTACGTGTAACCTTTGTTGTATTTCTCTGTATTATGCCTTATCTCATGTTTCACTTTGCTTATTACTCTATCAACATGTTTTTTCATCACAACAAATTATTCTAGTAAATTATTCACGTTCTTTTTTGTGCCGTACGTATTTTGACTCGCGCTTATACTACATCAAGGTCATGTGACCCCGCGAACAACACCAATTATATAGAGAACACGGTTAATGACCCACCTCGAACCCACGAAGCACGTGGAATAGAACAAACTAATGTAGATGTAACATTAAGTACTTACTTTTCATGATACTGCCACCAGCCACAGTGAAAATGCAGGCAATAAAAGAAACGACTAGGAGGAAAGCTCCAAAAGTTGTCATCATGGTTACTGTCTTGGATGTTTTCTTGATATGTAAATACAAGCAAATGCTGGAAGCAGAATTTAGTCTGATAGGTTTGGATGCTCGTGTGATTCTGACGTCGACCTCTGCTGGTACAAGTGTATATAGGGTGTTTGGAAACATCCAGGGGGTGCACTCCTATATTGCAAATGGCCTTAATTGACCACAGCTTTGCTACAATTTACGCCAACTCCGAACACTGTTTTTGGTGCTATTTGGCTGGTGTAACAATATAAATAGCCTATCAAGATTCGGGAACGTAAAAGAAGATATTATGATTTATAGAGATGACTTGCACGTGCTGATATATACACAGAGCACAGTTAACTGCAAACGCATCATGGGTGTACTAACATGGATACAGGAATATGCAAACTCATCATTTGTAAATTTCAGGATACGCGGTGTCCCTACTTTGTTGCTAATCGCCGATCGGCGAAAAAAAAAACACGCCAAAATCGAAATATAATATTTTTTTATTCGTGTTGATCAGAATTCCGCATTGTTACGCGGTTGTTGCAGAAATACTAGTTTTTTCTTTCCATTTTGTGTAATCGCGATTTGTTGTTTCACTAATAGTCGACTGTTGAATCAATACCGGGGATGTAGAAACCTTAGATGCTATGCTATTTATAGGTAAATAGTGCCTGTTTACCGTCATGTTATTCAAAGTTTTACGCACAATGTCTTGCAGAAATGTACATGCAGACATGGATGATCAATTTCGTCAAACCGTAACCGTAGTAACCGCAACCGTAACCGTAGTCACACAGCAGAAAATGAACCAGAGCGCCAAAAATAAGGTATGGGTAGTATTTTTTTTATTACAGTGAGGAATTTACAATCAGTAATTTTAATAAAATAATATTACACACGGGCCATGAATTTGTAATGAGTATTGCCTACATTTTTCACTGGAGTCCGTATACTGTAGACTACTTTACTTTTGCTTGGAATTAATTTTCGCTATTTTTGCTTAAGGAATGATTCAGAGAAAATAAAATTCAGCGAATATATTCCTATATTTTACATTAAACTTGGTGAAAATAAATTCCATATAAACAGCCAAATAGTCTTTTCAGCCAAAATTAATTCTAGCTAAAATAAAGTATTTTACAGTATTATATCGTGCCATTGCAGAATTATACGTGGGCGGGACCTTCTCTGTGGTGTGAGTATGATGACCTTGTCCTTTCGTCCTCTCTCAGGTCATCGATTCATCGAACTTAATCGATGATGAAGGTGACACAATTCGCACATGCATAGCTCCGTGGTCGTATTTTTAGTCACAGGCGTCGTACGATTCGGACCACGTGGTATATTTCCGCTTTGACCCAATCAGGCGTGGTATCTGACGCACGTGACATTTATATAATACACTAATAAATTAACGGAAAACAATGTACATATGTAGATTATTTACACGTCTACTTGTTAGGCTAAAAAAAGAATTGTTTCTGGTTCTGCTGCGTTCAAGCAAGCGGTGCGGTAACGCGCCTGTTCCTTCATTTAAAAAATAATATTTTGCCAGATACCACAAAAAAAAAAAAGGTCTGAGTGAGCCTTAAGTTGAAAACTGCCACTTCCGCTGACCAGCAGCTCCAGTCCGGGATATAAGAACTATATCATGAGAAGCAGCGAATTTTTTGATCTTATGCAGTATATTGTTTTATTATTAAGTCGGGGGGAAACAAATGATTCGATGAAAAGTTGGATTATATTGGAGGTTATATTTACCACCCAAACAAAAATGCGCCAGGTGCAACAAACTAATAACTATATATTATAAAAATTTGCAATAATAATAAAGAAGCAGGCAGTTTATATATATATATATTTCAACTGTTTATGTATAAATTTATTCTCTTTAAATATAAATCCGTATTTGTATTTGCTATAGAGATCGTCTTGTATTATAATGTCGAAAAAAACTCCATGGCAACGGTGCAGTTGCAAAAAGCCTAATGGCCATGTGGATATCTCCTTCCGAGTAATTTTTAATAAAAGCGCCGTGACCCGAATGATACTATTTAAGCTGTATCATACTACGCTCACAGATCAAAGCATCGAACGATACTGTAATATAGTGGTATCACACGTTTGTAAACTTTCTCGTACGCTTCCAGTGACTGTCGTTGTTATGTAGTAGCTGAGAGCACGGCGTTGCGTTATTCTCTAGCATACACTGTGTGTCATACACCAACTTCCGGATAATGTGAAAAACAAATCGAAGTGTATGAAGTCATCATTGATTGCCTTATCCGATGACGGAGGTTAGCAGGACAGAAGCCGATAGAAATCAGCATGTTTGGTAGCGCAATAAAAACAACGGTTTGTTTTTACCATAATTTTATACTATCAAAACAAAAAACAAAAAAACAAAAAAAAACATGAAAAAGCGACAGGATAACCGTCTCCAAATACGAAATTAACACGAATCTTCGGATCTTACACAAGTCTTAATTTTCTACGTGTTTATTTTTTTCTGCTGTTTTTATTTAGACCACAGAGTCTTTCTAGTGCCCAGATGGATTGCAACCCGGAGAACGTAAGCTTTCGATGGAAGATTTGCTGTCATTTGCTGCAAACCGACGAGAGTGGAGAAACATGGTCGCATTGGTGGCTGTGTAATCGTCTTAGTTGCGAGAAGAATAAAAAAAAAAGTTTACAACGATAATTTATGCACACTCAAATAATCAAATACCCGCGGAAATATGTTCATCACAAGTTCCTATGGTGTGTGTAGTTCAGCATATCCAATACTTCCATAGCGGCGTAAACTTGGTGAGTCACTTGTAGTTAGAAGGACGATAATCACGGGTTTCGTGATTTATAAGGAATTCTGACTATCTGTTTGTATGACGTGTGTCGTGTGCTGTGTTTATTGCGAGTTCTTGGAGAAACTGTTGAGTTTAGACCGTCGTGAGACAGGTTACTTGTGCCCTACTGACTTGTTTCAGAGCGAAAATTCGTCGATTTTGTATTCAGATCGCCAACTAAAAGGAATGTTCCATACTGGTGTGTCTACGTCACAGATTTGTATCATGATGACACGGACAAGACAAATATGCATCTATTTACTTTACATTGGTTGAAGGGAAGTGTCGTGTCACTAAGGGACTTTGGACAAATCCCATTTGTTGTTTGAATATCAGTTGAAAAATAAATATTGAAGTCAATTACAAATAAATAACCATATTCCATACATACATAAGATAAGATGAGCGTGTTGGTTGGCCGACTTCTGACACTTGGTGGCGTATTTGTTATTTCATTTGGATTCCACACAGCCAATTTACGTACAAGTAGCTATTTCTCATTAAGTCCCTAAATATATATTAAATACAAATTCACATACAGCAATTAAAAAAAACATGACACAAATAAAAACAAGAAATATGTTACTTAAATTCAGAATAAATATCATAATATATCTTATTAGTTAAGAAGTATGGATACTATGTACTGGGTACATGCCCGTATATAAATACGCAGATTAGTTGATTTACGGTTTAAAGTAGGAATATAATTTCAGATATTCGATGCCATATATTTTCTGTGACAGCCTGCATGATAATAATTTTAGCACTGGGTCTTTTATTCTAGGAGTGAAGTTTATTTAATTCGTGGAAAATGTATACATCATCTATGATTAGTTTATTTTTATTTTATTTTATTTTATTTTATTTTATTTTATTTTATTTTATTTTATTTTATTTTATTTTATTTTATTTTATTTTATTTTATTTTATTTTATTTTACAAATTTATTTATATAGTAACAACATGAATTTATAGGCGATTTGACTACGATGTTTTCACGATGAGGCGTGAATGTTCATATACATAATACTATATAAAATGAATCTACCCGAGGGCATTCAGTTTGTAGATGGTTACGCTCGCAAACCAGCTTTCTACCGTATTTAGAATTGCTCTAGTTGGTCTATTCATTTATTTATTCAGTTTTTTCATACAGGGTGGCCCAACTCAGCTATAAATATATGCTTTCCCATGCGGTCCTGTAACATACAACTGACATACAGCAAAAGTGTAAATACAATAAATTAAAAAAAAACAGTAGATTTATTTAAGTTACATTTAAAAATATTCAGAGTCTTGCAATTACAAAGACTTTCTGGTTAAGCATTCTACAGTTTAGCACCTTGATATTTGAAAGCCCTTTTATTCATTGACGTCTTTACGGTCAGCCAAAAATTATGGCCAATTTGTGACTGAAGTCCTGGTGTTAAAAACAAAAACAAAAGGCTTTACCAATTCACAATCAATGTAAGAGGGCGCTCCTGTACAACCATTCAAGATGGCGACCAGTCATCCCGAAGTGGGAGCGGACCACGGTCCTGGCGGGTCACCTGGACCACCTTATTCCCGCAGATTCTCAAACAAACAGGTATAACATGGCATGATTCATATTATATCGATGCATCTATGTTGATAATGTAGATCAATATGTGATTGAGGACGTGCAAACATTGACCCCGAAAAAATGCTCTGAGGCGCAACCATTAATACATACATGTACAGGGCAGTAACCTCGGTTCTTGTGCGAATCCAGAGTTATGGGAACCTGAATTAGAAATTTGTAAAGTTCACTGAAATAGACATGGATTATTTAATATATGTTGATTGTTTTCAAGCGGAGGAAGGACTGTACCTTGGTGTTGAGAACTGAGACAATGTAGATGTGAAGGGAGTTATAAAAGAATTGATAGTGATGCCAGACTTTGGTAGTGAGAGGATTCATTTGACATGAGGTTCAAATGATCCTCTCAATAAATGGAAGTGTGTGTAGATGTAAATCCTTAGACTTGGCCTCGGTTTTCAATGTCAACAACGCTCAGAAAATAGCTACAGTTTACAGATTAACAAACACTTTGTACTAACTATACCACGTATGCCACTGTCAGGCATGCATTATGCAATACTGTAGAATACTTTATTTTCGCTTGGAATTTATTTTCGCTGGAGGGATAATTCTGTGGAAATAAAATTCAGCGAATATACTTTTTTTCAAAAATCTGTGAAAATAAATTCAATACAAAACGCCCAAAAAGCTTTTTCAGCGAAAATTAATTCCAGCGAAAATAAAGTATTCTACAGTACATAATAACAACCTGAAGCATGTGCACTACATACTTAATATAATAAAGAGGTTTTGATGTAAACATATCTCATGAATATTAGGAAATGCCGCAAGCCTGTATTTTCGGCCTTGACCTCCACCCTGTCTATTGTGGTTATTAGAAGACTGTACACACTTTCTACCATACTAAACTGGTAACCAGGGTGTTAGCCAGCCACCAAACACACTGGCAACTTTTTCCCATTTTTTTGTTTTTTTCCTATTGTTCTTTGATAATTTTACCAAAATATGTTAAAAACCATCTACATTTTCATGAAATTGAATTGTTTTGGACTGGCAGTTTCAAATTCCTGGTTAATAGTCTGCTGGTCACCAAATTTAGCACCAGGTTGCTGCATCTTATACTAGTCTACCTTAGAAAGTCACTAACAATTTATACAGCGCCACCAGTGGCTGTTCCAGGGTCTGTGCATCTAATAGACGTATTATATAAATATAATATTATGTCGGTGTAATTATGCTTGTTGATGGTAGCTGTAACCAATAGTTTACAGCTGCTTTCCTTAAATCAATATTAAGCTATCTGAAAGATTTAGTCTGATTGGCTACCCAATCGTAACACCTAACCGTCAGACCAATCAGAGAGCATCTTGTATATACCTGAGGATTGTCAACATGCGATACTCATCAGTGCAACTGAACGCTCCATTTAAAGTCGCAAAAATTACGAGATGATGACAAGACATGCATGCATTTCAAATACTAATGCAAATCATTGAGTTGGTGTGTATCACATGTATTTTGCGATTTCCGATAAGGAGATAAACTCACTCATTCATTAAACTTTCCAAGCTTTCGCTGCGTCCTGTGATGCCATTGATCAGAAATAAGATTGATTGAGATGTAGAATGAGATCTTTATCACATATTACTATAAATGGTTGTCTAAATTGAATACTCCTTCTTTATTAGCTCCACTGTCGACTTTGTCGAGCGGAGCTTATCATATGAGTGACTGTCCGTCGGCGTCCGGCACCCGTCGGCGTCCATCATCGCCCGTGTCAATGTTTTACATTTTCGACTTCTTCTTGAAAACTACAAGCCTGAATGGTTTGATACTTGGTGTGTATGTACCTGGGGTAGATCTCTCTTAGATTTGTTCATTTCATGATGATATCTTCAATTCTCTAATTTTGGTGAATATTTTTGTAATTTTTGGTAAAAAGTGATATTTTCGACTTCTTGTTAAAAACCGTAAATCCAATTGCTTTGATATTACATATATAGATACTACATGTGGACCTTTCTCAGATTTGTTCATTTCGTGATGATATTTTGAATTCTCTAATTTTGGTGAATATTTTTGTCATTTTTGGTAAAAAGTGATATTTTCGACTTCTTGTTAAAAACCGCAAGTCTGATTGCTTTGATATTACATTTATAGGTACTACATGTGGACCTCTTTCAGATTTGTTCATTTCGTGATGATATCTTCAATTATCTAATTTTGATGAATATTTATGTCATTTTTGGTAAAAAGTGATATTTTTGAATTATTGTTGAAAACAGCAAGTCTGATTGCTATACATACTATACATATTGTTCATTTTCTAATGATATCTTCAGTTCTATAATTGAAATGTGCATTGCTAACAGCGAAGCTATTTCAGCCGACAGGCTGCTTGTTAAATAGTTCATTTCATTATTATTCATTTTTTTGAATAATGTATAGACTTGATTTAACCAATCTAGAACTTTTCTATTTACATAATATGTAAATAATGCCAACAGTAATGTACAATGACCAAACTACTGCTTGTTTTTATTGCAGGCAGCTCCGTATGTTTTTAGTGAGGAAGAGAAAATGGTTCTGAAAGAGTGTTCTAAGATGAGTTCCATCAGAGGTAGCTAAATTTTTATTTACTTGTAGTATTCAACATGACATTCATCGTCTGTCTTATTTTGTACACATGTGTGACTGATTTTCATTTTTAATGGGACATTGGTTGCTACTTACGATGTCAGTATGAATCTTGACACAAGTGGTTTACAATATAATGATCAATCTACAACCAAAGTGCACACATGCACACCAAGGGTCAATGTTGTCAATGAATACTGATATGGGCTAAAGCTTTGTGTTATGTTTCAGCATCTACTGTAAAATACTTTATTTTAGCGGGAGTTAGATTTTACATTGATTTTTATGGAGTTAAATGAAAAATGGATTTTATTTTCACTGATTTCACTGACTTCAGGGAAAATAGTGGAAATAGAATCAAAGTGAAAATAAAGTACTTCACAGTAGTCAAAAAACACAGGTTTATTTATGTTTATTAAATAATGCCTTTGAACACATGCATTGAAAGCTTATTAGGATTGACAAACAACCTCTGAATCAAAAAACACACATTTCCCGATTGTACCATAGGTGGCACACTTCACAGGTACCAAAAAATTGTGAAAATAAAAGAAATGTACGAGGTGCAGGATGCAAACTGTGCACATGATTGTTTTGGTCATATCATCAGTACACCAAAGCTGGGCTACCGGGATAATGCAGATTTACTGTGACATTCATTTGACATAATCTTGTAAATTAAAAAAAATGATATCAAATTTGTTCATAATCAGGCAAAAATGGTCTGTATAGATTTGCTTATTTTGTAATTATTGAATGTTTAATATTATTGTTTTCAGCTGTATTTGGATCTGCTTGCTTTGCTAGTTTAGCATTTTTTCTGGTCAAGTCAGGTAAGTTTTCACTGTTTTGTTGTTTAAGATTCCCTGCTAGCAGTTAAATTACACAGATGATATTTATAATGAATGACCTGTGTAGTATTTTTCATATAATAAGCCTTTGGCTAGGAGCATATGAAAATAAATCTGATAATATGAGGCAGAATGTGTGAACTGTGAACATCTAGGATTATTAGTTCACGTGTGAGTTAAGTGTGATTAAGATGGCGTGACAGATGATTTGGAGTCAAAATGAATCCAAACATACATTAAAAGTGGAACTATGGGGTGTTGTCAAAAAAATGATTGTGTTATCCATCATTGAAGATGTTTTTACCATGAATGAGCTGTCATGCTTGCTATAGATAGATTACAGCTTTATTACAACCGTGTAGAAAATTTTAAATTTAAGTTAATAATGCATAGCTAAAAAGTAAGTAAGCAAAAGTTGAGTAAATAAAAAAAAAATAAGTGTGATTGACTAGTCTTTTGTTTTTTCATTTATGCAGTTACTCAAGTACTGTACACATAGAGGGCTATAATAGTGTCTTTATGTTTTGATTGTAAAATATATTTAAACTGTTTTTCTTTATCCAAATTCAAGAAATTTGTTATAAGATTGAGATTCCTTCCATGGGGTTGAGGAAGTTGGAAGTGGAAGGATTGGGAGGGGGGTGTGAATATGGAAGGTGTGGAGGAGAGGGGGTGTGATCTGTGCAAGAGGTGAGTGTGAGAGGGGATAAATAATAGTATCATAGGTTTCTGATTCTCTTCTAGGTAAAATATCAGCGTCACCAAAATACGGACCAGTCCCTAAGATGTTGTGTAAGTACTGCTATTTAAACTTGATGATATGCGATCCTATTCAATTCAGTAATTCAAAATTTCAGGTTAATTTCAAATTTTTCCTATCAGCAATGAATGGAAAAAGTCTGACCATGGCATTTTTGTTTTCCCATTTGTAAATTTTTTTTCTGGTTTCAATAACTAATTTGCATCCAACCACTTTCACATCCTATACCTTTCTAATTATTGTGAAAACTTGACTTAGTTCTATTTTGATATGACACCATGTCAAAACAACCCCCTACAATATAAAATGCAGATTTCTCCTGGTTAGTTAATTCCTATGTATTCCAAATGCAACTAAAAAAGTTGAGAAACAAAATTAAAATAAATTTACTGTGAATGTGTGCATTTATTATTTAAATACAAAGAAATGACAAAGATTAAATGACACAATGACTAGTACACTCTGATTGCAAGATATAGACTTCATGCAAAGTTAGTAATCTGTCGTTATATGCCATAATTGTTTCACAGATGCATCATTTTTTGGTTATGTTTTTGGTAAAATATCTTATATAAATGAATGTAAAGAAAAAATGATGAAGTTGGAAAACTCACCTTTAGCAGAGGCGATCCGGAACAAAAGAAGTTTTGAAAGGTATTAAATCGTCATTCTGTATCTACTAGTACATTCCAGTGAAGGTGGTAGTTATTTTGCTTTGATTGAAAATGAGACAACTTCACTCTGTTATCAATTGTGCCATGACATTGTGGTAATATGCACATGTACTTTTAATGGACTGGACATTTGCTTTAGAGATTGTGTAAAGCATTAGATTGGCTCATATTATGCTATGTTTTAGTCTGAGGCAGAGTGATTCACAACAAGACCAGACAGAGTATGGTGCTACCTCAAGTGTATTACAGTATGAAAGTACCAATGAAATGCCATTATCCAGTCCTGATGTATTTACCAACATGGATGTAGACCCTACCAAAGAACCCTCACAGAGAGATGATCAAAACACTGTCTCAGGTATGAACAATGTGACAGGTATAATTGGAACAATGTTACAGGTATAATTGGAGCAATGTGACAGGTATAAATGGAACAATGTGACAGGTATAATTGGAACAATGTGACAGGTATAAATGGAACAATGTGACAGGTATAAATGTGACAATGTGACAGGTATAAATGGAACAATGTGACAGTCTAATTGGAACAATGTGACAGGTATAAATGGAAAAATGTGACAGGTATAATTGGAACAATGTGACAGGCATAATTGGAGCAATGTGACAGGTATAATTGGAACAATGTGACAGGTATAAATGGAACAATGTGACAGGTATAATTGGAACAATGTGACAGGTATAATTGTGACAATGTGACAGGTATAATTGGAACAATGTGACAGGTATAATTGGGACAATGTGACAGGTATAATTGGAACAATGTGACAGGTATAATTGGAACAATGTGACAGGTATAATTGGAACAATGTGACAGGTATAATTGAAACAATGTGACAGGTATAAATGGAACAATGTGACAGGTATAATTGGAACAATGTGACAGGTATAATTGGAATAATGTGACAGGTATAATTGTGACAATGTGACAAGTATAAATGGAACAATGTGACAGGTATAAATGGAACAATGTGACAGGTATATTTGGAACAATGTGACAGGTATAATTGTGACAATGTGACAGGTATAATTGGAATAATGTGACAGGTATAATTGGAACAATGTGACAGGTATAAATGGAACAATGTGACAGGTATAATTGGAACAATGTGACAGGTATAAATGGAACAATGTGACAAGTATAATTGGAACAATGTGACAGGTATAATTGGAACAATGTGACAGGTATAATTGGAACAATGTGACAAGTATAATTGGAACAATGTGACAGGTATAATTGGAACAATGTGACAAGTATAATTGGAACAATGTGACAGGTATAAATGGAACAATGTGACAGGTATAAATGGAACAATGTGACAGGTATAATTGGAACAATGTGACAGTTATAATTGGAACAATGTGACAGTATAATTGGAACAATGTGACAAGTATAATTGGAACAATGTGACAGGTATAATTGGAACAATGTGACAGGTATAATTGGAACTATGTGACAGGTATAATTGGAACAATGTGACAGGTATAAATGGAACATTGTGACAGTATAATTGGAACAATGTGAGAAGTATAATTGGAACAATGACAGGTATAATTGGAACAATGTGACAGGTATAATTGAAACAATGTGACAGGTATAAATGGAACAATGTGACAGTATAATTGGAACAATGTGACAGGTATAAATGGAACAATGTGACAGGTATAAATGGAACAATGTGACAAGT